TATCAAAACCAACAACACATGCCAAAAACGATGATGATGATGATGATGATGATGATGACTATAAAACTAAATCAAAACTTAAAGTGCCTTCAAAATACAATGATGATGATGATCTTCCGTCTTCATCAAAATTTGGAGCGCGATCGAAACATGATAATAGTTATTCGACATCATCAACATCAAAACCGACAACCCATCTCAAAAACGATGATGATGATGATGATGATGACTATAAATCTAAATTGAAATCTAAAGTACCTTCAAAATACAATGATGATGATGATCTTCCATCTTCATCATCAAAATTTGGAGCGCGTTCAAAATATGATAATGATTATCCAACATCAACATTATCAAAACCAGCAACACATTCAAAGTATAGCGATGATGATAATCCATTGTCGTTATCAAAACCAGTGATACGATCAAAATACGGACATGATGATCGATCACCTTCACCATTGAGATCAACTTCAGTTTTAAAAAAATCCGATGATAAAGTTCCGTTACCATCATCAAAATCAACTGCACGATCAAAATATGAAGATGATGATGATGATGATCATCCGACAAATTCACCGAAAATAACATCTCGTTCAAAAGTTCTTGATGATGAATTTCCATCATCATTGAAGAAAAATAATTATTCGTCACATGAGGATGATTTTAGTGGTAAAGGAGGTGTACGATCTCGTTTTGGATATGACAATTTCGATTCATCAAAAGGTGGATTTAATAATGCGCGAGCTGGTTCGGCTTCAGCTCATCGATTTCGACCAAATACAGATTATGACACTTAAGAGAAGCTTTCCTTTTATTTCTCACAAGAATTGTGATACAGGTTTTTTTTTTCTTTTTGAAACTTCAACATTTCTTGTTTAGTTTTTCTTTTGTCTAACAAATTCTAAAACCTTATTTAAATCAGTTTGTTTTTATTTTCTCTTTTTTATTTTAAAAATAAAAGAAAATTAACACCAAATTATACATAATTTTTTTTTTTATTACAAATAGATTTATTTAAATTGACAATTATGTGATCTTATATACAAAAAATTTTATGCAAAATTTTTTGAAATAGTTTTAGTTTTTTTTGTTCTAAATAAATATTAATTTTACTGGCAACAAAAATGATGCATATATATTATCTAAAGAAGATCTTTTTTTAAATGTATAACTTAAAAATTATTTATATAAATTTTAGTTCATTATATTCAATATAAAAAATTATGCATTATAAACGGCGAAACAAATAAGATTACATAGTAAATCAAGTTCTCGAAAAAGTTGAATGTTTATTTTAAAAAAAAGAAATTCTTTATTTTATTCTCTAGACTAAAACAATGGGATCTAGAAACTAAAATTCATCTGTATCTGTCTGTTTGTAACATAGTTATCATATGGTAACTATGAAACGTATGAATACGTAGAATGACAAAAAAGTGTACCTATGCATTAGAATTCGAATTAATTCTGAAGTAATATTCGAGAATAAAGAATATAAAAACTCGTATATACTGTGAAACGATCTTATACACTCGGTATTTTATTGTATAAAATCGTATTTCTCTTTATGTGATATCGAGACATACTATCGTTTATAGCAAGATATTGTGTAAAATAGAAGCTATATACTAGCTTTGTATAAAAACACTATAAACGTCTACGTTTACGATCATGATACTGAGAGTCATGTGAGAAGTCAATATACGACGATTTACGATTATTTACAAGCACGTTTGTTCTACATGACATGCTTTTAAAAATAACAATTATTACTATTTTACTATTGGTGGTTTGATTGATTGTTTATTGGTACATATACGAAGACGTAATTTAATAGTTATTAAAAGTTAAAGAGTGAGTTTAAACATATGATTAACATAAACGTAAATCATA